AATGGCATTGGTCTTTCTTCCTCCCAACACTTGTGAACTTGTGAACCAACAGAGTATTTCCTCTTGGTTTCAGCTTGGGTGGATGTTATCTTTCGGTTGTGTGCTAAGTTCTTGCGTTGACTCTGGGAGACTTCTAAGAACGGGTTCTGAATCTGCAGGTACATTTTTTCAAAGGCACATTGATTTTCTTGACCACTAGCAATACTGATATCTGGTGGGACATACGGGTGTCAGTTTGAAATGGGTTTTGTTTTAAGAGGACTCTTCTGGCCACAAATAGATTCAAAGGTGTCCCAGTGAGGCAGATGAGGTGACAGAAGAGTTATAAACAGAAGCCGGTGCTTATCTGGAAATGGCGTCAGAGCCACCCAAGTCGCGGTGAGCCAGCACTGCTTCTGTGAAGCATCAGAGGCCCGGGCAACAGACCCACCTCCCAGGAGGAATGTCGAGTATGCCAGGCACTTCAGGCAAGCACTTCAAATCCCCACCAGGTGACAGAGTGGTCCTGGTGTCTACCCAATACCCATCCCTCCTGCCCCTTCCTCACAGAACCCTGATGAGGCCCGTTACCCCCTCCTCTGGTTGGCCACGTGTTCAGGGGATGCTGGCCCCAGCTCCAAGCATCTCAGCCAACCATAGTGGTCCCATCTCCTTGCTAGTGGTTGGTGAGGCATGGACACAGGACAAAGTCTGGCCAATTGGGACCTGATAGGAGGTAGGAAGAGTGTATCTGAAGAGGTTCCCTCACTCCTGGAGACACAGCAAGAGATGGCCCTTTTCCTGCGTCTGGATGTGACACCTGAACTCCTGCAGCCATCTTGCGACCATGAGCTAGTCTGCGACAAAAGCCTGCAATGTGAGGGAGACAGAGCTAAAATTGCAGCTTGGGCCCTGACTCTTCTGGGCCTGCAGCCATTCTGCATTTGGACTCCTCGTGTCACCTCGCCCTCCTCTTGTTTAAGACAGTTGAGTTGGAGTTTTCTGTTCTTTGCAGTCGGAACATCTTAGCTGACCCAGGTATATGAAAGTTCCTTCAGCTGACCTTTCCCATAGCTGTGAGGATTTTGACTCGAGCATCCACCCACGAGTCATCCTGTTTGGTATAATCAGAGAAGGACTCGAGGAAGGAGAGGAGGAAAGGGAAATAAAGGGCAGGCAGTGCAAGCTCTGCAGTGCAGCCCGGGAGAGACGCCCTGCCTGCAGACGTGCACTTAGGGGACAGGGAGAGAAAACGACACAAGGGGGTCCCTGGGACCTGAGAAAGGGGACAATTTTTTCTTTTGAAAGATTGGCCCTGAGCTAACATCTGTTGCCAGTTCTCCTCTTTCTTTTTTCTTCTCCGCAAAGCCCTGGGGTACACAGCTGTATATTCTAGTTGTAGGTCCTTCTGGCTGTGCTATGTGGGACGCCGCCTCAGCGTGGCCTGATGAGCAGTGCTAGGTCTGTGCCCAGGATCCAAACCAGCGACACCCTGGGCCACGGAAGCAGAGAGCACGTGAACTTAACCACTTGGCCACGGGGTGGGCCCCAGACAATTCTTAAATCATAAAAATTTTTCAAAACTGTGACAAAAAAGATAAAAATAACTTGGAAAAAAGCACTGACATTTGGATATAGCAACAGACACAGGGAGCAGACCCTCCTGCTGTGCGGTTCAGCAAAGAAGCAAAAGGAATCACAATGACAACAGGGAGGGGGCCAGAAAATTCTAGCAAGCAGGAGATGATGAAAGAAGGTTCACTCTTTCCCCAGGATAATTTCCGCCTTGAGGTGCACAAAATGCCACTGCTTCTCTTAATTAAGTGTGTTGATTTAGTTTTATTTCAGCAAATAAAATGTATTTAGAAGAACTTCATGGGTTCTCTCTTTTGCATACCCTCCCTAACTCGGCTTGCTATGAACTTTTCTGCCAATGGGCTGATTAGAAGCAGGACCTGTGTGCACGGAGGAACCACTGTTATTTCCGTCATCATGCATTCACTGACGCACAGGAATTTATGGGTCTCTGAAGGAGCCCAGACACTATCCTGTGAGCTCATCGTGCTGTTTTACTGAATGCTGTCTGGTGAGGTTCTCTTTCTTGCACATGTCCCTGTCTTCTCTAAAGGATGCTAATCTCTCTAAAGGTAGGGATCGTGTCGCATAGCGTATCTTGTCTATCGACAGTGTCTAGCATAGTTCTAGATGCGTTGTAAGCTCTCATGTAAGTCTTTAATTATATGTAGTGTAAGTCTCATGCTTAAATGAGAGAAACTCTTAGAAGGTCTTAACTCTGATCCTATTGTTTTGTTCCAGAACGGAAAGTGAGTGTTGAGTTAGACTTTTTGCTAAGAGATGTTCCCCTACTGCTTGCTTCCATACAGCTACAGAAGCTTCCAGAAGTCCTTCTAAGGCAGAGTGAGAGTGTAGCGTTATTAGCCTGGACACTCAGGCAGCAGGCCCTGATGCTCATCGTCCCCGTAGCACCCCTGAATCCTTTCCCTACCCGGTGCTGGGGGGCTGAGCATTCCAGTGGCCCTCGGGGCTGCTGCCTGCCCTGGCTCTGCACAGAAGATTTAACCTGGATCAGAAGACAGCCTCGGAGGGTCACCTGTGTGACAGTGCACCCTCACCAGCAGCAGAAGCCAAAGGAGTCCAGGATTTTCTCCTCTGAAGACGACAATTCTGAATCCTGTAAAATGATATATAAATTGAAAGGCCAGAGCAAATCCGTATATAATATACATCTGCATCTACGTATCTAAGATAGAATGAAGCCTACAAAAGTCTGAAAGTCACAGGGGCTCGGGCCGCGGGTCGCGCGTCAGGGCGGAGTCCCGGGTCAGCAGTCGGCGCGTCTTGCCGGGCCGGGCAGCCTACATGTCATACAGTCTGAGCTGCTCCTGCATGTCGCCGTCGGACATCTCGCCGAACGTCTCCTTGTTGTCCTTCATGAGCTGGAAGATGGCTGCCAGCTGTTCCTTCTGAACTCTGTTGAGAAGAAAGGATAAAGAGGAAGAAGATGCTCCCCACCCAAAGTAGGGAGAGAGACCACGCATCCATAGGGCTGGGACACCCCTCCCGCCTGTGTGACTGCGTTCGCTCTCCAGACTAAGAAGGAAGTCAAACTAAAAGGAAACCCACGCAAAACACGGGAGCTGGTTTGGTCTAACAAACACAATGTGAGGGTTCTGAAAACCTGGGTTTGCTCTGGAGATGAGGGACCCCCAGTCATCACTCAGGTTCTCAGTGCTTCAATTTCCCCTCGGGCCTCCTTTTAATGTTTTTTTAATTTTTATTTTTTAAAGATTGGCACCTGAGCTAATATCTGTTGCCAATCTTTTCCTTCTTCTTCTCCCCAAAGCCCCCCAGTACATAGTTGCATATTCTAGTTGCAGGTCCCTCTAGTTGTGGCATGTGGGACACCGCCTCAGCATGGCCTGATGAGCGGTGCCATATCCACGCCCAGGATCTGAACTGGCGAAGCCTTGGGCCGCTGAAGCGGAGCACGCGAATTTAACCACTCTGCCACGGGGCCGGCCCAACCTCCTTGTAATGTTGACCGCACGTCTCACAGTGAGGTAACGAAGAAGATGTGTTCTGCTCAGTGGCTGGAGAGCCTCTGAAGGAATGTTGGAAACAGCCTTGGTTCAGAGGATGAGCAAAAAGTGAAGGAAGGAAAACCATTGTAGGCTGGGAAATGGGAGCATACAGATGTGTAAGCAGCATGCTTGGCCAAGGGGCAAGGGTGGGCATGGGGTTTCGCTGCCCAGAGGGAGGGGCGCCTTTTTCTAACTTGCACAAGGACGCCTTATGGCCAGCGAGGGCCCTGCCCCTCCCACCAGGGAACAGGCCTGGCTGGAGATCGGCTTTATGTTTATTACACACAAGCTGGGCAGCTGGCAGTGATGTTCTGTTATCTTTATGAGGCTCCGCCACACCATCCGACTGGCACAGGACCACTCCCATGAGCGCAAACATGAAAGCGAGGGGTGAAGCTCTGCAGTGGAAACCAGGGCACAGTTAGGCCCTGTTTGTTCTGCTCTGGTGCTGTGCTGTGACATGGCTGGGCACGGCGCGCTGGCACCGTCTCACGATTCTGGTGAGGCTTCTGCGGCCCCTCGCTCCACACCACACCACCCGCTTGGCCCGGGCCCCCTTCAGAGGATGTAAACCAAAGGGCAGCGTCGGCCCTCTCAGCCCCTGCCTGCAGCTGGCTCTGCTAAAGTCAGTGCAGGTCCAGCATAGCGGGCGGGCCTTGAGCACAGCGCCCAGCCACCGTGGCCCTGCTGGGCCAGCACCCCAACACTGCCGGGGGGGGGTCCCAATGTCTGGTCTTACACTTGTCCTAACGTATTTCTTCTGCACTAACCCCGCATCTCCCACCCAGCAGTTGGTTTTCTGACTAGAGCAGGATCTAGGAGCTGAAATACCAAAGTCCCAGATCCCAGCCTCTCTCCATCACCCTGGGAGAGTGATTTCTGCAGTCTGTTTTCCTGTCTGGAGGAGAAGGAACCTACGATAAGTACTCTGAACTCTACTGCCCGAAGAAACTACGGGGAATTCAAAGGGTGTGCGTTTAGCTCCTTGGGTGGAACCACCATCCAGATGTACCTGTGGGCACCCAGAGGGAACACAAATTCTCTCCTGTGTTTTTTTGTTTTTTTTTTGCTGAGGAAGATTTGTCCTGAGCTAACATCTGTGCCTATCCTCCTCAATTTTGTATGCGGGATGTCGCCAAACCATGGCTGACGAGTGGTGTAGGTCCGCACCTGGGATCCAAACCTGCAAACCTGGGCCACCAAAGGGGAGTGTGCCAAACTTAACCACTACGCCACTGGGCTGGCCCCTCTCCTGTGTTTTTGATGGCTGTGGTGCTTGCATATTTTTAACAGGATAGACGTATGACTTCATACTCTGCTGGAGAGTAACAGGCATCAAAATGAGAGCGAGCTCACAAAAATGGGTCCAAGGGAGGTTATTCTTTTAAAACAAAGCAAAACTGAAAAAACACACAGTAATCAAGATCAGCTACTCAAAGTTTATTGGACTGAACAAAAAGGCTGACACACAGATCCCAGCCCAGGAGCACGGGAGGCTCGGAGCCTACGAGCCACGTTCAGAGAGTTTCCAGATGAACTTAGATAACTAGCCTGGAGGGAGTCACCTCCTATTGTATCAATGAGATCCCAGCGTGGAGGACATTACTATTGCTGTGTGGGGACACCTGGCTCACAGAATGCATCTATTTGTCACGGAGCTCCGTGTGCCTGTTCCTTCACTGCCTGCTCTGCCCTAAGTCCCTGAACCTAGGGTATTAGGCCCAGAGGAGAAGGTCACTGGAAACGAACTGCCCTAGGGGTTGACCTTGGACATTTCTCAGCCTTCCATTAAATGGAAAAAAATTTCTATAAACTTATTGCTTAAAAAAAAATGTTTTCATCAACACATCTAAAAACTGCAGATTAGTTTGGTATAGTATAAATATTGTCAAATATAAAATTCCAAGAAACAAATCTGGGACTGATTTGATTATCTGGTGAGGTTCTAACTCATCTATGAATCCTTCTAGGAGAAGGCGTCGTCAAGAAATCTATTTTAAGCGAACACTATTATTATTGCTTCTGCCAAAGCGAAGGTGGAGATTCGGCTGAGCTGGTAAGAACATGGGTGAAAAGGCCTCTTAGCAACAAGAGGGCCGGATTCGAGTCTCCCCTAAGTGAGAGACAAGGACAATGGGAATCGATAGCTGGCACTGGTCCTTTGCGCCCGTCATCAATATGGCGTCTCTCCCCCGACACCCGAGCCAGCCAGAGAGAGGGGGGAGTGAGCCCCAAGGGAAAGGAGGGCCGTCGACCCGGCCTGACCCAGCTAGTGAGCACACGCAGCTCCATCTCATTTGCCCATCGCACCTCACAGTCTTTCACGGTTTGGCTTCAGTGAACGAAAAAGCAGGAGGGCTGGAATGAAACTATACTGATTTTAAATGAGGAAGTTGCTGACAATGGCCATACCTCAGGTGTGAAGGGTGTGTGGGGAGCAAGGTTGAGTGATAAGAAAAATCGAAGTCCAGGATGTGAGATCAAACTCTTACAACCCTTCAGCTTAACAAAGCAATCCACACAACGGGGAACACCTTACACTGGGGGCGCCAAGGCCATTCCTGGGTCGTCCCAGCCAAGGGCAAAGCCCTACTGAGGGTCTATGTCCCAGTGGACTTATGGAGGCAAGACGCGCCCCGGAGCCCGCATGGCTCCTCTCTGGGGGTTTCCGTTTTATCTCTCAAGCTTTTAAGATGCCCAAAGGAAAAGCCTTGGGAGGAGGCTAAGGACAACTTCATTAGTCTTCAGTTCTGTAAAGAGAAATGGGGAGAAAAGAGAATTTATTTCACTCGTTCCGTCTTACTAGGACCACGGGAGAGGAAAGGGGGATACGGGGCTGAGGAAGGAGAATGTTCGGGATTGCAGAAGCCGGCTGGATGCCGCTTTCTGAGACACACAAGGGGCAGCGTGTGTCTCATCACCTGCAGCAGGATAGTCCATTCCACCAGCCTGCCAGGACCCAGACGGGCCCTCTATGGCCGCCCCTTCCCTGCCCGCGAGGCATATAGATGGCAGGTCAGGTCCCACGTTAGGTAGTTGGGCAGGTTAGATGCTACACTTAGGTAGTTAGGCTGGTCAGATACTGGACGCTTCTGGTCTTTGACAGTGTGGCTGCTCTGTGGCCCCGTCACCCTAGATTATTTCCTATTTCCGCTGGCTGGGTTTTGTCCCTTCCGGCACCCAAGGATGCGTGCTCCCTCAGATGAGGCCAACGCCACGCCCACCTTTCCTAAAGGACACACAGAAGCACACAGCCGCGCGGAGGGAGCCACGGGATTTGATTTTGTCCCTCTGGCGCCCTCTTCTGGAAGTCAGAGTCAGCGCGGATTTCTGGAAATTCTAGTGGCTCGTTCACGGACACATCAGGCGGCAGAAATCAGGAGAATACCCCACAGCCAGGGCTCGTCCACCTCCTCACACTCGCCCATTATGCCATATAAAACCCCTTCCACTAGACTCATGTCCACTTCCAGAAAGGTCAGCACAGCCCCAGAGACCGTCAGAATGGAGTGGGTGCTGGGGTCCCGGGGCCTCATCTATCAGAGCCAGCCTGATCTACAACCTGGGTTCCACTCTTCCCCTAGAGCAGAAGGTGGGAATAACGGATGGTGGACAAGGAGAGGAGTGGACAGTGGCGCTTCTCCTTTTCTCTGCTGACGTAGAAGGCAGCCGAGCTCTCTAGCTTCACCTGCTCTGGGGTGAGGGGGACAGCATCTCGCTGGGGTGAGCAGTCACGAGCCTGCAAGCACACCGTCTCAGCGACACTCTGATGATGTGGCATCTCCCAGGGGAGCTGCAGTGGGAACCCGAGGACTGCCCCCGCCAGGTAGAGGCAATGCCAAGGATGCCCGTGAGCCAGGCCCCAGGGGAGGCCCAGGGGGAAGTGGGCAGACAAGGACAAAGCCGGGTCTTTCTGAAGCAGCAGCTGCCTCTGGATTTACAAACCTCAGCATTTTCTGCCCCCAGTGCGGAAGGAGTCCGATCTGTGAGCAGTTCCAAGGATGGGAGTGCCTGATTAAACACATGGAGGAACAAATTTGGGGTCTCTTGCTTTCAGTCCTGCTTCCTACATGCCATGCCCTGGTAACTTGTAAACTGAGGCTTCTGGGGACTGCTGGATCATGCGAATGCTAAATATTTAGGCTCTCGATCCTGCTGCATCGGCTGAGTTAATATATTTAAAGTCAGGGACTTGTAGCTTTTATTTGTTAACTAGCTGGAAACTTGGCTAGTACCCTGAGTGCCAGGAAAGGAATTAGAAACAGCCAGAGTTGGTTGGGAAGAATCGGACAGGCAAAGAAGAGAGCATACTTTTCACCGGCCTGTGCTTTTAGTGGTTTGACAGTAATATACATGTTATTTTTCATTCTGATGATTCCAGGGCAGTTTCCTGGACTCAGCTGGGACCAGAACTGTCTTACACCTGTCAGCTCTGCTGGTCCCCATGGGAACTATCGTGCTGTAGATGAAAAGACAAAGCCAAACTTCCCAGCCTCTGCAACCCCAAGCATCGCCATGTGAGGAACAGAGGCAGCCACAGGAGGGGTGGGCATCAAGAGGCCCCATGCAGCGCCACGTGGGCTCACCACATGCAGGGGCAGGAGGGAGCAAGCAGATGGCACAGGCAGACACGTCAGATGCCATGGGGAGCATGCTGGGCAGGGGCAGTAATGAAAATGAACGTGAACTCCAGCCCCACCCTGTGAGGACCGCGTTCAAAGGCCTTGAAGCCCACCAGTCCTTCCTCAACTCGGGGCACCCCAGTGATAACCACAGCCTGCAGACGAGGCGGTGAGAACCCCTCCTTCACCCCAGGAGCAGCACTCTGGCCCAGTCTTGACCCCATGGAATAGCAAAGTGTGGATCAGTGGTCTAGACACCCCCAAAGATCTCGTATGGAAAGACCCTCTTGGGCAATGCAGAGTCTGCTGTCTGAACACAACGGAAAAGGGACTTTCCGCCCACATTCTCGAGGTCCCAGCTCTGAACCCAGCGGCAGTAGCAGCCTGACCCCCGGCCCAAGGCCTGGCATCTAGCCCACTGACTGGTCTTTCTTCTGATGGTCGCTCAAACCTGCAGTGCACACCTACCTGAGCACGCAGACTAAGCCAGGGTCCTGGCCACAGCCTCTGTCCACAGGGACCTTTGCGGGACCACAGGTGTGTCAAGCCCTCTCTAACCTTAAATTAGGGGCTGTAAACTTTTTCTGTAAAGGGCCAGATGATGACTCTTTTAAGCTTTGCGGTCCATGAGTCTTGGTTGCAACTACTCACGTGACCACTGCAGTGTGAAAGCAGCCACAGACCACAGGGAAAGGAAGGAGCGCAGCCATGTTCCTATCACACTGGACTAAAAACCCGCCTATCCCACAAACTGGGGGCACAGGGTTTCTGCCGTGCACTGTTCTACAAGCTGCGTCACCTTTGTAGGACAGGACTAAAGCTGCAGGGGTGACACAGTGTGCGTTTCCTCAGCCCCCGCGGTCCCGGGGAAGACAGTTCTCCGCCAGCCTCACAAGGGGGCGCTAGCGCCCCACCAGCTGGCCCTTCAGGCCCAGCAGGGACTTGGGTTAACTCGGCCTCCAGGACCTCGCAGCCCTGGGAAGGAGGCCTGTTGGCCCAGTGATCTGTGCTGGAGGAGGAGTCGGCTCGGGTGCCCAGAAACGTGTTAATTGGTTATGAAGGTGGTGGAGGAGCAGAGGTTTAGACCACGTCAGTCGCGTTGGGGGCACATTAACAGACAGGATGAGGGAAGCATCACTGGTCTAAGAAGTCAGTCTCCTTACCAAAAGGATTTGCAAGAATATTTGAGGCTCAGGACCTAAGGAACTTGCTACAGGGAAGTGAGGTCAGAGGTCAGCTCAATCCTGAAATATAAAGGCAGCAAACCGGGTCATGCCCAGAGGCAGCGACGTTAGCACCGAGGCGTGGGGACCTGCCACCCCTCTGCCCCCAGGTGAAGGGCCTTCTGGGCCAGGCTTGGGAGAACTTGTGACAGCTCCAGGAGGGCACACAGGGATTCTCCTGGGCCGAGCGGCTTCTGACTTTTGAGGGATACTGGTGGGTGGTAAGCGGTAACAAAAGGGTGGCTGAGTTCCCTTTCTGACCCTAGAACGCCAGCTTAGCTTATGCTAGCAAGTGAGGGTGATCGCCACAGCCCCTGGGGGATGCCAGGGCTCAGAAACCGGAAACCGCATGGCTCCCATTCAGACTCCTTTTTAGGCTTTCACTTGAACCAAAGGACTCCAGGCGACAGGAGGCTTGAGTGCAGGAGCTGGCTGGGCTCAGGGTCAGACCACCACTCCTCTCCATGGCCTGTCCCTAGCTGTCTGGCTGCCTGCAGAGTGTTCCCTAGCCACCCTGGCGGGATGGAGTGGACAGGAAGGCAGGGAAGCCCATGGGCGTGCAGCAGGTGTCCGGCTGGGTGGGGAGAACAGCCCAGTTCTAAATAATGAGCAGCTGCAATGGCCTCAGCTCCACGGAGCAGCGCAGATACAAGTGGCAGCGGGCGCTGGGCGGGGGCTGCCAGTGGGTGAGCATGAAGAATCCTGCTCTGTCCTCAAGTGACAGATTGGTTTTGTCGTGAACTCTACGCGCAAGTGAACAGCCACATCTGCTCCAGCTCTTCCCTGGCATCTCGCTTTGTCCTTTTTGGCAGGGGGAGGGTGGGAAATGCAAGGGATGGGCCCCGGCTGGCTGCCCTCGCCCATCCCCAGCTCCTCCCAGTGCCCAAGGGGACTGTCTCCAGGGGGAAATAGAGCCTGGCTGAATACTGCCAAGAACCCCTAAAAGGAAAATGGAAGAGTGGGTCAGGGGGCGGAGCTTGTGGGAGGCCTGGCCCCTCTCCTGGCTCCTGAATGAGGGGGTAGGAAGGTCAGGGCTCCCTGGAGCCTCACAGCCAAAAGCTGAGCAGTCCCAAGAGGAAGGGGAGGCGCCTACCTCTGTTCCTCCTCCAGCTCCTCCTTGGTCATCATCTTCTTGTACTGGTTTCCCCGCAGCTTCCCAGGGCTGTACTTAAAGGAGAAGGCCTCTCCTCCTGCAGAGAGGAGACCCAGTGAGAGGTGTGGGTGTTGGGCCTCTCCCCAAAACTCAGAGCCCCCTTCCCTTTGTTAGTTTCAAAGAACCATCCCAGCCAGAGAGGACCCCCCTTTCAAAGGGGGCAGAGGGCCCCACACACACCCAGCGCCAGCCCAGGTACTGCCCCAGCCTCGGAGGCGACTGCACTCTCATGACACTGCCTTCTCATCCCCACCTGCACCTGACAGGTCCTTCTCCCACCCCTTTCCAGGAAACCCCACAGCAACTTAGGAACTCGAAACGGGGACACACAGACAGAAATGAGACAGCTGGAGAGAAACCAATGCCCTCCACCTTTACAATATGGCTCCATCCACCAAACAAGGGTTCCCTCCCAAGACCAGGCTGAGCGGTCCACAGAGCTTTCTGTCCACCCCACTCCAGCAGAGGCTCTCGCCAAACCACTGTCTGCGAGGCTTTTCTCCCCTCTTCCTGAAGCCCCGTCATTACTGCTGGGCTAATTACACAGGCAGGCGTGGGGAGCTTCTCTCCCAGAAGTGGGCTGTGCCCAGGCCCTGGGTCCCCTGCCTCTCCGCGGGTCCCAGGTCTAGAGGGCGGCACAGGGACCCTCCTGCCGAGGTCGTCCGGTCTCCCGGGCTTGGGGATGCATGTCCTGCAGTCCAGGGGTGTCACGTAGGCCAGGCATGGGGGGGCATAGCTGCCTTTGAATAAACAAAGGGCAGTTCTTGAGGCCTGACGAGGGCACAGCAGGGGGTTTGGACAGAGGAAAGTAGGGACATGTGACACGGAGTGAAGGCAGGCGTTGGGCACACAGGCCAGAGGGAGGCAGTACACACAAGACGCAGGCTGCAAGGGCAGAAGAGGGAAGTGCTCCAGAACATGCCCCTGGCCCGAGTGTCCAGATGGAGAGAGTCCCACCGGGGAGCGATGCCCTTAAGTGGTCCTTCAGCCCAGCAGGTGAGGGTGGACGGCCTCAGCCAGCCCCAGGGACAGAGGCTGAATGGCTTGTCTTCTCTAATTTCCATTAATGTATAAAGAATTGAGTGGGGGAAATGCAGAGACCAGCAAATCACCCTCCCACACGGATGTTCTTTTTCAGTTCTGTCCTAGAAGGTTTACCTCTCTGTCACTCCAATGTCAGGAATCTCACACTTGCACATCCTGCTGCCAGGCCACCTGACTTCCTCTAGCTGGCAGCCACCCGAGTGATCAGACAGGCAGATGTGGGCTCAAGGGGAGGAAAAGGCCATGGCCTCTCGGATTAGGATTCAGGTCTCTGGGCCAACAGGAGAAGGTTCTGGATGCAAATTCAGAACCCAAACATTATGTTGTGGGCATTGTGTGTGCCTCTCACCAGAACCTTGCTCAGGAGCAGGAAGCTGGCCGGCTCCAGTGCGGACATCTTCCTGCGCTCCCTCACTCCAGCCAAGTGCCCTGGGACTGAAGCCCCGCCTTAGGAAGCAGTTACCACATTTGTACAAGAATTAATTCGCTCTTCGTTCATTCAACAAATATTTAGTGAGCACTATGCTAGGTGCTGGGGACTCGGCAATGAATAAAACATACACCAAGTAATTAAAGTACAGAGTGTGCAGTTGGTCATGAGCTGTGCAGGAAAGGACAGCACGGGGGAGAGGGAGCTGGGGAGGAGGCTGCTTGGAAGTTTAACGACTGGGGGCGCTTTACAGAAGATGATGCTGAGTCACCGTTAGATGGTGGGGCAAGTCCTGCAGTGTCTGGGGAGACATCCGACAAAGCAAGGAGGCCAGTGACACTGGGTGGCAGACAGCAAGGGGACAGGAGGGCATGGGGGATGAGGGGCCATGGGAGGCCTTGTTCTTCCTCCCAGTGAGATGGGGCTTGGCGCAGAGACAGGGTGCCTCCATGCCTCCCTCCTGACTGGAGACCCTCGCTCCCGTTGGCCAACTCCTCCCTCCAGGCTGAGCTCGGCTCCTGCTGATGAGCAAAGGGCCAGACATCACCATTCCCTCCGGGCCGCAGAATCAGGAGCTTCCAGCAGCACAGGGCTTGCACTGCTGGGATCTGGGAACTGTGCTGAGTATCCACGGCTGCTGTTTGAGGGACCTGGGTCTTTGGTCACCAGGAAAACCCTGAAAAGGCTGCCGTAGGGGCAGAATCACACAGAGCAGTCTCAGAACAAGCTGGAAACCAGTGCTCAAGTCGGGACCTCAAAAAGGGGCAAGAGACAAAGAAAACCCATTATTACCCTCAACATCAAGGTCATTGTGCTGCTATGTTTTGGGAAAATAAAACATAAAAAATGCTGCCAGCTGGGTACTACTCAAGGTTTCGATTTATGGGGCAGGTCTGATTAGTTTTATGTTTTCTGAACCAGGGAGAACAAACGACTTGAAAAGCCTCTCACTTAATCACATTTGTGTACCAAGTGACACACAGCCGCTCCCAATTTTGCTAGACCAGAGGGTTTGATGTGACAGCCCCCAGGGAGGGGGACTTCCTCTTGCAGTCTAATGTGAATCCAGAATCCTTAGGGAAGGCGTCTGAGCCACACGAATCAATTAGCCTCGGGGACTGAGCTGCTCTCTGTAGAGGGGCTGGGGGCCGCTCCTGTTTCCTTCTGACAGCTGGGGCCATAAACCTCTCCTCCTGCCGCCTTGTCAGGGCTGGCAGGAGGCTGCTGCGGGATGGCGGTGGGGGGGTGTCCAGAGGCAGCAGTTAGATAAGGAGGGAGGACCCAGTGACAAGGCACATGGTGGGGCGGGGGGCTCAGAAGAGTGGTCCGCTGAGCCTCCCCTTGTCCTGGCTCAGGGGCCTCCAGCAGCCTCAGCTTTTGCCTTCTGTGTCCCCAAGTCACTAACAGGATCCATTAACGTGGCAGAGACAAACGCCAGGGCCACGGCTCCTGCAGATGATCTGGGAAAACCAACAGCTGGGAGAGAGAGCGCCTGGCAAGGGGCTGGTGTCCACTCCCCCACCCGCCACCCCCCTGCAGCTGCCTGCCCTTCCCCCTTCCTCTGAGGCTGTATTGATGGAAACCTGCCGGCCTCAGGGAGAGGCTGTGGGCCCCAGCCGCCCCCACTGCCCTGCCGGCAGCCTCCGCCTGTGGGTACTGCATTCCTGCGGCCCTCTTTCCACTGCTCCTGCCAACAGTTGACTTAAAGTGACAGCAACAGTCTCGCTTTTTAAAAAATTATGAAATATTTCAAACATACACAAAAGCGCAGCAAGTAATAATGCCATACAGATATAACAAATGTTGACATTTTGCTATTTTTGCTTCAGGGTTTTTTTAAACAAATAAAACAGGATAGATCTAACAGAAGCCCCCCATGCTGTGTTTGGTTGTGTCCCTGTCTGTCCAGGGGCGCTGCCCCCGGGTGCCCAGGGCAAACACACCGTGGCCTTCCACTCGGTCAAGTTCGACTCTGTTCCTTTTCTCAGTGCTCCTGGGCACTCCCTTCTTCTTCCCCTGGCCGCCTGGAATCTGACGGTCAGGGAGGTCTGGCTAGCTAGCTGGAGCTGCTCAGCAATCAGGCATTTCCTCTCCTGGGGCCTTTATTCTGCGGAAAGCACGGGCAGCGGCCTTGTGAGCGGCTTTACTCTCCATAAAATAGGTCAGAGATATTTGGAGAGAAATGTGAAACGCATGAAGCGGTGATGAGAGGGGAGCTAAGAGGCAGGAAACAGAAGGTCAGGGCACTCGCTCATTCACGAGATGGGTCACCTGTATTTGGAGACACTCGCATTTGTATTTGGAGAGACTCGAAAGTGAAGACTGAAGGAGCAAAGGAGGTGGATAGGGAGATGGATGCAGAAGGGTGAGAGGTCGGAGGGGTGCCAGGCTCTGGCCTGGGTGTCCTCGGGGCCTCTCCCCTCTCCTCTCACCCTGCACCCACTCCTCTCGTCTGGTATCCCAGGGAACCAGGGTGTAGCCCTGCCTCCACGGCCAGAGTGAGGGGCAGTGAGGTGCGGGTAGAGGCTGGGTCCCACTCACCGTCTTCTTCTTCAGGTCCTGCTTGGGGTGGGCCCTCCTCGCCGTCCTGCTCCTGCTCCTCCTCCTGCAAGACGAGGAGAGGGGTCAGTGCCCAGGCACCCGGAGCTTGCCATGGTTTACTCCTTGATACTGTCATTCCGGGGTTTGACCCCACAGTAACAGCAACCTGACCCGTGGGCCCACTCATAGGACAGCTGTGCTGCAGCACCATGGGGACTGGAAGTGAGTGACCGTCTCAGGGGCATGGGCAGTATTGGGCAGAATGTCAGGGAGGTGGGGGGCAGGCAATGGCCAGCCTGACCATGCACAGCACTGGTCTGTCCTTTGAGCGTGGCTGGGAGGACCCACGTGGGGGCCACAGTCAGCTGGCAGGTCACTAGAAACCTGTGATGTCAGCGCAAATGCCAGTTGGCCAAGATGATTGGGGGAGTCTGGGCCGAGGAGCTGAGGTTTTGACCTGTGCCCCTCAGTCAGTTTACCCTTTTCAGGTGGGTGCTGGTCAAAGCCTTTGGATGCCATTTTGATAAGTGGACAGGGGACTCCACCTCTCACTATAGTGTAGTGAGTGGAACAAGAGGCACAAGAGAGAAGCTGGCAGGCTCTCTGGGGCCCAGGCTGGGCTGGGCATCACCGAGAAGCTGCATTCGTGGTTGCAGGCTCCGTGTCTGCTTCCTCTAACGTCGTTTCTAGCCCTAACCATTTCACTGTCCATTTTCCCAAATTGGAGCTCTACCTCCTTCAGCCCGGCTCTCTCCCACGCACAGACACAATAAACAGATGGCTGGAGGAATGTCCCGGGATGGCCTTGGTAGAAGGAAGGAGTGACTTCAACCTGGAGGAATGTTGGGGGATGAGAAGGATGTGCCCGTTGCTCAGGCTACAAGGGACTGAAGGGCGCGTGAGGGGACGTGCAGCCCAAGGAGCTGGACTTAGAAGCGCAGTGGGCAAATATGGGAATCACCGCAGGCTCAAGACAGGGGAACACAAACGTGAATGAGCTGCCCCACAGTGGAGAAGGCAGCACGGCAAACGAATCCAAACTCAGGCCTTTAGGACTCTGGTTCCCGTCTAGCAGAGTTTGCAGCCTCAGCAGGAGTCACGAGCATCAGGCAGGCTCCATAACAACAGAGCCAGTGAAGCTGGGAGGCAAAGCTTGCACAATCCCACCAGCTGGTCAAAGGTGGCAAACCCCGCATGGCCTTGTGTTTGTTGCTGTGACTTTCTCTCTCTCTGGACCACACAAAATGCAGCAGGAGGAGCAGGGCGGGAGACAGGAGCTGGCTCTTCTCCCCCTAAGCTTCAGCATCATGTCAATGTGAGCGACGCTGCCTTGAGCGCTGGTCAGAACCTGCAGCCTGGGGGTCCAGATGCCCCATGAATGTCACACAGCAAAGCGTCTTTGTGGCTGCGGGAGGAGGCAGGCCTCTTCAGGGGCAGGGAAAGGAGACACCTGTTTGACCCAGCAAACCCATTTCTAGGGCTGGAAACCATCTATCTGGGTTTTTATACAATGACTCTGTGTGCAGCAGAAAAGACAAAGCTGGAAACAACTAACTGTTTGCGTGTAGAGTTAAATATATTATAGTTAAATATATTAGGCTAATATGTTCACCAAAATATTAGCGGGTTAAACATATTACAGGCCATGTCTACCATGCAGCTCTGTGCATTAAAAAGGAGGCAGTTGTACGCACTGATGTGAAAAGTGCATCCAGATAAATTGCCAAGGGGAAAAAGCAGGAGGCAGCACAGCGTGAGGAGTGCGATCTTTTGGGCGTAGATGTCAAAACGGAAGTGCACATATATGCTCATAAAGGCAGGGAAATGGTTTTCTGGAAGGACACCGAAGGCGCTGTTACAGTGTCCGCCTTCGGGGGGAAAAGCAGGCGGGCAGCCCGTCCTTTCCATCTTACACATTTCACTATAATTTGGATTTTCTAATAATATGCATGAATCACTCAATATATTTTAAAAATGCTACCCAGCGGGGTCTCTGAACTGTGAGATTGGGCTATTTTTTTTTTCTTTATTTAAAAAGGAAAGAGAAAAAAGAAAAAGAGATAAATAGCCATTACCCTACTCAGGGCTGGACCCCAGAAATAAGCCCAAGGCTGAGACTAGAGAGGAGGTGGATTCTCCTGTTATGTGCGAGGGACACAAAGATAAAAGAAAAACAAGAGAAACAAGCACAGTCCCTGTCCTTAAGGAACTCCTGGTCCAGCAGGAAAGAAATATACACACATAATTGCCACCCAGGGTGAGACTGGCAAGAGGCAAGGCAGACGCTGTCATCCCAAAGGGACCTGGCATTGGTCGACCTGCCAACGCCCTCCTGGGGAGAGGCTGGTCTACGTGTGGATTTTGCACTTGACTTTGGAAGTGCGGTGCTTTGTAAACTCGTAGTGACCCACTTGGTAGGTGGTGAAAGCAATCTAGAGGTTGCTGCTAGTATTTAAAGAAATGTGCAACCAAAGTCTTAGTGAAGTTTGAATAACTTTAAGCTTTAATAACTTCAAAAGCATAAATGCTACCCAAAAACAACATTTGAAAGCTTTGTTATTTACATTTTAAATATATTGATGTTTCTTGCTCAAATTCATGTAACACCACTTTTAGTGCTAAACATGGCTTTACTTGATTTTCGGACTCGGAAAAAGCACCCGTGGGCTGATGGTCAGTGACTGAAGGGCTTGCCTTGGTCGTTCCAGCCTTACGATCTCACGAGGACTCTATGCTCATGTGACCTCAAGGGTCTTGACCAGGTCTCCAAGGTGCCCGAGGAGAGGATTCCTCCATCTACCCATCCGTCTAGATTCTGGTACGTTGCAAAGAATTAAAATGAAAAACAGCTTTCAAATGTCAGGAAACTGAGTGCAAAAGACATTTAAATAAGTAAATATTCAACTGATGTGTTTTGGAGGTTTGTAGCATTTACCCTTCCTAAGTTATTAAAATTTAAAACTGCACGAAGACTTTGTGGGCACCCCTGCATCCCAGAATTAAATTAAAGATAGTGTTGTGTGTGTGGCAGAGGTAGATATTGTTTCATAAAACTTCTGGTGCGGTTCTGCGACTCTACATACAGGGATGCAATTTAAAATTAATTTTTCATGGCGAGACTTAATGAAGTCTAAAAAACACTGCTGCATTGGCCGCTCACTGTTTCCTCTCTGCGCAGAAAGCCCCTCTTTTTAGAAGACGTCCCTTGAGGCCTGTGGTCCTAGTGGGAACTGCAGGTCGGGGAGTCAGACCTCACCCCCTCCATACTCAGAGCTGTGAGCCTGGGAGCTCCCAGCTGCCTAGGGTCGCCTGGGGTAGAGGCCCCTGGCCCTGGCTGCCCCCAAGTCCATTTCACCCCTATACATGAGCGACTAGACTCCTGGTTCTGTGCAAGCTCACCTGAGCCGAGCTTCTGTCACCAACAGCCAGAGGGTCCTAACCTGTCACTGTCCACTCACACCCAAGCCAAGAATGTCTCAAGTTCTCTGGGGAGGGCGTTGCCTGCATCAAATTCCAGCCGCACAGAAGTTGCAGGGTAGGGGTGGGGGAGCGATGGCATGGTTTTCAAACTGCACCCCAGCAAGGCGCCCCAGGGCCTCGTGTTTATCTGGGTTATTTAGTGGGCTTTTAGATAACATCATAGTAAGGGAAAGAATTCTCTTATTAAAAAAGAAAAAAGTAAAACATCACTGTTTATTGCATTTTGCCCTTATTTTATAAAAAATGTGTACACAACAGAAAAACGAAAAGTGCTGGTACAGGTAATAAGAGGGGCAGGTTTCAGAAACAGTGTGATTGAGACAAAGAGGGAAATGCTTCTGGAAGTGGTGGCTCTTTAGCCTCAGTCTAACGCTCTTTGCTTCAAGAGGGTGAACTGTGTGTGCGACAGTGAAGGGAAGGAATAGCGTGAAACCACAGATAAAATGCCAGAACTGTTCCGTCGAAGGCTTTGTCCGGAAGAGCCGTCACTGAGGGTTGCACCTTTGTACCTTCCTGCGGCACACTCCGTCTGCAGCCCTGCCTTGGCACAGGCAGTCCTGCAAGTCTGTTTTCAGCAACACATTGCGCATCTAAGCAACACGGTGGGGGGGCCCTGTGGAGGGGAGCTCAGCTGAGCCTGAGGGGTTCAGGGAAGGCCTTAGAAGGGACAAGAATCCTGAGCTGGGTCTGAGATGAATTTGCCAGGCACGGAACACCACGGCTTCTGCCGTGACTCATTGCAGCTTGGTGTGATTGCACGGAGCGGAGTCGCCAGGAACGCGGGGCCTGCACCACAGAGATCTAATATGGGACGAGGCGATGAGGAGCCACTGGAAGCCTTTAAATGGGGAGAAACAGGATGACGAGAGCTGCATGTCGGAGCAGTCCATGGGAATGCACTGCACTGGCAAGGGGCAAGAGGGGAGGCAGGAAGAGCTCTGAGGAGAAGGTTCAAAGCTGAGGTGAGAGCCTGAATCAGGCTCTCAGCTCAGTGTTTGTTGAGTGAATCAGCGAAGGGTGGCTGCAGTTGGCCAAAGGCAATCCCTTGGGGGTCTCGAGGACCGAATTGCCCCTTTGGGCTTGTTCTCCCATGGCTGGCTGGGGCAGCTGTGCCACACGGCTCGGCTGGGACCATGCCTGGAGGCAGCATGAACCCAGCAGCTGCTCAGAGCGCTGACTGCAAACATCACAAAAGACCATCTCTGTTGATTTCTTGTCGATGCCCTTGGTCGTAAGAGTGTCGCATGGTACCGCTATGTTATGGGTTGGATTGTGACACTCCCCAGATTCATTTGTTGAGGTCCTAAGCCCCAGTGCTTCAGACCGTGACTGTATTTGGAGAGAGGGTCCTTAAAGAAGAAAGTAAGTTAAAATGAGGTCACTCGTTGGCCTCTAAACCAATCTGACTGGTGTCCTTAGAAATTTGGACACACAGAGACGCAGGAATGCAGGCACGCAGAGGAAAAACCATGTGAGGACACAGCAAGAAGACAGCCATCTGCAAGCCAAGAAGCGAGGTCTCAGGAGAGAACACACCTGCCCGCCCCCGCCCCCATGGTTCTGGAGAAAAGCAACGTCTGTTGT